TTTTTTTTTTTTTTTTTTTTTTTTTTTTTTTTTTTTGGATCTTTACTATCTGTTTAAAAATTTTTGATGCTTAAATTAACCAATCATCTGTGCAGTGCTGACCAGCCAGCTGAAGTAGTTCTATCTCAATTGGAACACCTGTTCGAGATTTACCCATCTTTTACTAGAAAGTAATTTCTTTTTAATTAACGTCCTCCTCACAGGAATTGAAGCTGTTGTCCACAATTAGTTAAACAGTTAAATTATAACAGGCTTAATTGAACATTTGTTGAAGAATAAAAAAATGAAAGAACATGAGCATAATTTCCCAAAAATGTAGAATTTTTTTGTTTTAAGTAACCAATGTATCATCTTTGTCTCAGCACTTTTCTTGCTGTTGGGATTCAGGTCATGTTTAATTGTTTATTCACTTTTTCGGCATGAATTGTCCAAAATACAGACTCTTCTATTTACCTGCATACCAAAAATCTTAGTGGGTTTCTCAGTTATTGTAGTGTCCTCTCTTTCAGGACTGATGGACATCACTTTCCCCTATTAATTTTATTAAGGCGGTTGCTTCAAAGATCATGATGTTAATGCAGCTTGTCTTTTGCTGTCACCTATTTATTTTCAAAATGCTGGGCTTTGACCCACCCAATCAGCCCGAGATTGTTGCCTCAATTTGCTAAATCTTCAAACAACTGTCTTGTTTCTTTTTCCTAAGTTGTACTCCACGTTTGAGAGGAGCTCCCAATAAGCTTCCAAGTATCTCATTACTGTACTGCAAATTCCTTAGTGCTTTTTAAAAACAACCAACCAACCCCAACAAAACCAAAAATCCATGCTGCTGGATTACCTGTCAGGTTGCCCCAAACTGTCTCGTTATCACTCCTGTTCCAAATCAATACAGAGAGTAGATGTTTCTTGTCTTTACACCTGAATTGTAAGCTTTTTGAGGTGGAAACATTTGGGGGTTTATTTTGCCTATACTTTTTCATTGTGCGAAGGGATCCTTGCCCTGCCTATGGATCTGTTGCGGTTCGTGGTGGTAATAATTAAGGTAGACTTTTAAATAATCTATTTGAAGAGTTTGCAAATCTTTGTATAGCCAGCAAATGTAAGTGTTCAAATACACTTACCTTGTTCCAGGCTTTTCACAGTAGAGCACCGCTTAGCATAAAGTACATTTGTCTGGTATGTACTGCACTAACCGTATAAAGAGAGGGTTTGGGTTTTGTTTTCTAATTAACTGCTAGAAGACAGCTGCCATAAGTCCAAACTCATAATTTATCTTCTTAAAAGGACTGACAATTTTTTTAGTATAGATACACATGGTGTGTTTTGGTTGAAGCACGAATTGATAAATTTGCAGAAGACAAAAGTAAAGAGCATAATTGTATGGTTTTGGGTTTTTTTGTTAAATATATCAGTGTGTAAGTAAAATTATTGTTCTGCAGCCTTGTTTTCTGTCATGTGTTACAACGTGCTCTGTGATAAATATGCTACCCGGCAGCTGTATGGCTATTGTCCATCTTGGGCATTGAACTGGGAATACAGAAAAAAAGCCATTATGCAGGAAATCCTGAGCTGCAATGCTGACATCATAAGTCTTCAGGTAAAAGATATACTGTTATTTCTTTTCCTTTTCTATTCCCACATGCTGGTTTCTCTATATTAAATGTATTTACAGTAAACGGTCTGTTTTCAAAATCTTCTGAAAACAAAAGAAAAAAGTGGTGTGTTTAGAACATTATTTGTTGCTTGACATCAAAAGAATGCGTTTCAGCCCACGCAGTTGGAATGTGAACCAGCAGCTGCTGATCAAAGAAGTGTACATGGTGTCTTTGTGCCCGTGTGTGTATGTGGGGCTATAATTGACACATTTTCAAATAAAAGGCTTGAGATAATCATAACTCTGGGGATTACAGAAATTCATTTGTATTTTCTTAAAATAGGGATATTGCTCTCAAGTTTGCATTCTCTGATGTACTTAATTCTTAGAATTTTTTTCCCTTAAATCTAATTTGAAAGTGATTTACACTTCTGAAGAGTCTAAATAATATCAGTCTTCTGTATTTTGATAATAGTACATTCATGCTGTGCTGTCTTATAACTTTACAGGAGGTCGAAACGGAACAGTACTACAGTTTTTTCCTGGTAGAATTGAAAGAACGTGGCTACAATGGATTCTTCAGTCCAAAATCTAGAGCTAGGACAATGTCAGAACAGGAAAGAAAACATGTCGATGGTTGTGCAATATTTTTCAAAACAGAAAAGTAAGTGATGTGTTTTGCAGAGCCTTCTATTGTGTCTTGCTCTCTTTCACATAATTTCTCAGGTCAGTCTATTGCTCAAACAGTTTGGCATTAGGCGCCCTTTTTGAGGCCATTCAGTGTTTCTTACAGAGCATTCCTATCGTTCGAAAGAGTGGTCTGTACGGGAGAAATCATTTTGTGCGTAACTAGCAATAGAAAATTTTACCCTGAAGTTTTGTTTAAGTTAAAATTTCACTGTGTTAGAGCAGTGCAGGTTAGGAGTTCACTAAATTATATTGCAATTGTTGAGTGTGTGTGTCCCAACCATTAGGTGTTAATAATGAAAAATGAAGCAAATGTCTTATTTTCTTACTTTTTCTGAGTAAAGGGATTGATAATCCCCAAAATTGCTGAAATAAGACCTCGGGTGACACTGACTTTTTGATACATTAGCCTTCTGATAAAGCAAAAGACAAGGTGCTTAACATCGCTGCTCGCTTCTGAAAAAAGCCGTTATTTAAGAGCTGCAGCACTTACTGATTGTGTCATACTGTACTTGTACAACTGTTTGGATATGAGGGTAATAATTTCCCTTCCTCCTCCTGCTTCCATTCCTTTGTATCCACAAGTAAATGTAGGTGCCAGGTTTGGTACCATTCGGCTCAGAAAAATTATTTAGTCCCTGTCTATTAAACCTGCATCTCGGAACTAGAAACTGGTGCAGAATTAGAAACAAGCGCTCCTTTTCTATTGTGTGTGTCTCTCTCTGTCTCTCTCTCTCCCCCTCCCCCCCTTAATTGAAACTAAGTTAGTATAAAATATCTAAAAATTACTAGGAAAACTATCCTTTGAGTTCATCTTAGGATTTTATGAAATTATGCGATTGGCTGAGATTTTCACATCATAAAGGTGTTTGAGCTTTAATTAAAAGGAGAATTATCTATAACATTGCCTTTTGTATCTGGCTGCTGAAAAAAACATATATGATGTTTCTCTTTCAGATTTACTTTGGTTCAGAAACATACTGTTGAGTTCAATCAACTAGCTATGGCAAACTCGGAAGGCTCAGAAGCTATGCTGAACAGAGTTATGACAAAAGATAATATTGGCGTTGCTGTATTGTTAGAACTGCGAAAGGAATTGATAGAAATGTCATGTAAGTCCTATTTAGTTTAATTTTTTAATAGATTGTATTTTGTAAATGGAGAAAATTGACTTTTGTTACAGTAAACCAGAGAAACTAGGTTCTACAGATGAGTATAACTTTGCACATTGTATGCTGAGACAAATTTATTTTCAAAGAGCATTTGGGGAAAAGTCGTATTGCTTAAATGATGATTTTTTTCAAAGAGCATTTGGGGAAAAGTCGTATTGTTTAAATGATGATTTTTTTTTTTCTGCTTATACATTTTTGCTTAAAAAATACAAAAACTTGAGTTTGAGTGATTTTTTTTTTTTTGCTTGGAGATATGTACAGGTATCAGAGTCGGTTGGTGTTAGTTGCGTGTTTCTGGGTCATGTATCTGCATCGCTTTAGCTTGTTATTTTCTTCACTGTCATGCTTATACAACCTGCTTGTTCTGCCCTGTCATTCTTAATTTAGGAAATGTAAACTGGCTTTGTAAGTGTCGCAGTGGGTACCTACTCAACCTGTGTTATGATTATCCAAATGATATTTTATTAATTCAGATTCTAACAAACAAGCCTTTTAAGAAGCACTTCTAGCAAGAGAGGTAACTTATAACGTGGATAACTTAAGATGCAGAGCTCATTGCCTAATAAGGTATGAGCAGTGGCTGTTTACCATCGCAACCTGAGGAAAACTGTTCTAATTTTTTAGAACTACACTATTTGCCTGTCATTAGGATTATCTGTTATTTATGGTAATTCACAGTATTCTTAAATATGTAAGTGTTACCTGTAACAGGATGGTCTGTCTGTTAACGGTCTTGAATGTGAAACACAATTATTCCTAATGCTTTATATCAACTAAAATGCTTAGTAGATGTAAGAGGAGTTGTGTGACCCTCTTAAATTAAATGGTATTAACCCTCTTCAAGTTATACTGGTATTTTGTTTTATTTTTTAAACATCTTGTTTAAAATTCAACAATAGTGTTTTGTTGCTGACTGTGTAAGGTAAATAATTGATTTTAAATTTTAGCTGGAAAGCCACATCTTGGGATGGAGAAGCAGCTAGTTCTTGTAGCTAATGCACATATGCATTGGGACCCAGATTATTCTGATGTGAAGCTGGTTCAGACTATGATGTTCCTGTCCGAGGTAAAGAACATTATTGATAAAGCCTCTCGTAGTCTCAAACCTGGTGTTTCGGGAGAACTTGGAACCATTCCACTTGTACTGTGTGCAGATCTCAATTCTCTGCCAGACTCTGGTAAGAGTTCTATTTCTTTTCTTTTTTTTTTTTTTTTTAAAGACTGTTTCAAGTGTGTAACAATTTAAATTTCAAGGTCTCACTTTTTTAAAGTTTTCAACTTAGAGAATATGTTGTTTGATACCATAGTTGTTTGATACCATAAGCATTAAAGGTACTGAGGAAATAGAAGGAAGAGAGAAAAGCTAGAACTGTTTCTTTCGTGAGTGACCTTATTGCCTAGGCAGTAGTGTAGCTATGCCTGGTCTTTCAGAAGCATTTTCATTGTTATCTTACAATACAGGAATGGAAAGGGAGAAAATACCTTTCAAAAATAACTTGTTAATTTGGCTTTGCAGCCTCTTTAAAGTTAACTTTATCTGCAGTAGTGTTACAGAAGTTGGCTTTTTTGCAACATTTTAGCCAAAGAACGATGGAAGCCAAGACTTGAGCAGAGAGGCGAGGAGAGGAGGAAGCTGCCTGCCTAGCACCTATAGCATTTTACTTCCACTTCTTTCATCTTCCCCCCAGTCAGTCTGTTCCTAATTAACCTTCTAGTTTTTTCTAATCAAAGCACGTCTCTTTGTTCTAGGCGACGTTTGCTCTTGACATACATATAAAATACTTCAAGATAATGTATAAGAACTACTGCTGAGTGTATTGTATACGTGTTAAGGTTTTGCTTTTATAATGCATCAGGTTGCATGTATGACTTGAAATAATCTACCCACACTTATTTGCTGAATGCTTGTTAATACCTTCCTGTGTGCATGTGTCTCTCCTAATAGGTGTTGTTGAGTACTTGAGCACTGGTGGAGTGGAAACAAACCACAAAGATTTTAAGGAACTGAGATACAACGAAAGTCTTACTAACTTCAGCTGTAATGGGAAAAACGGAACAACAAATGGAAGAATTACACATGGTTTCAAGTTGAAGAGTGCCTATGAGAACGGTCTAATGCCTTATACAAATTACACATTTGACTTCAAGGTAAGAACTTGGCTAATATTTTGGAAAAGTTTTCCATTTTGAAGTTTAACTAATGTGATTTGCCGTACGAAATTGTTTAACAAAGAAGTTAATCCGTTTGGGTAGCTAACAGTAAATTCACCAAGTTTATATTTAAAACATAGCGAACTGGAGTGCCCAACACTTCAGCCTCCTAGAAACCAAATTTTCCTTTTTCTTGTTAGTAACTTGTAATAGATTTGCAAGAGTTGGGGTGCTGTTAACCTTCCCGTAAACAGGAAGATTTTGTATTTTAATACTCCGAGCTAAATGAAATAGTACAACAGGGGCACTTAAGCTGTCAACTGTAAGGAAATAATCCGTGTTGCTACTGGAAAACTCTCAGTGCTCCGTTGCCCAGGGGAAGCAAAGATGGTTCTTTTCCTCCTCAAAATCAGAGGAATGTGATTGGAAGCTTTGTAGGAGATTGGAAATTACAACCCACAAAAGCAGAGCAGAAGTGATACTTTTTCTTTTGTTTTCCTAATCTATATTGAGCAACCCATGGGATATAGGAAGCAGAAGTCTCCTAAGTCGATGACGTGCTGTGGAGAAGGAATGGTGGCATTTCAGTTACTCGTAATACTGAGCTCACCTTTTGTTTGGAACAATACCTTGAGTCAAGAAGATATACTAACAATCGATTTTATTTCTTCTCGTTTTAGGGTATTATTGACTACATCTTCTACTCTAAACCTCAGCTAAACATACTTGGCATTCTTGGACCTTTGGATCATCATTGGTTAATAGAGAACAATATAAGTGGTTGTCCACATCCACTCATCCCTTCTGACCACTTCTCACTTTTTGCACAACTGGAGCTTTTGCTGCCTTTCCTGCCTCCTGTAAATGGAATCCATCTCCCTGGCAGGAGGTAGTCAAGTACATTTTAGAGGGCAACCTCAATCTAACTTGTACAATTGTAAAATCTGAATATAGAGGAGTGAGGTATGGCCAACAGGGATTTTTTTTCTTAATAATCTTAATCTTAAATCTAATTATTTGCTAAAGACATAGTAAAAGCCAGGTGCTATCAACAGACACAATTCTGAGCCCAATATACTTTGTATACTGTTCAACAGCGATTGGTGCATTTGCACCTTTCTTTAATACGTTACAATTAACCTTCCTGTTTCTTTTATCCAACGTGACGTTTTCATGCCTTGAAATAGGGAATTGTTATACAGTATATTCTCTTTGCACAGTTATCTGTAGCACTACTTTTTGAGGCCAGTAGGAACATCCACAGAACATTCTTCCGTACTTCACTCCCTCCTTTTTCAGACTTGTTTGTAAAATATAGAATTTGAATTTAGCCTTTATTGATTGTATATGAACAACAGAAAACCTGATTGATGAGATTTTGTACTTTAAAAAAAGAAAAATCAGATTTGGAAAATGATTGTATTGTAAACTAAGGCTAAATTTTTATCTGTTTTCATGTGTTATAAAGGCCAGCTTGTAAAAGAGGTTGTCACAGGTTTTCTCTGCTAATGATTTGCACTGTTAGGGTTTCGTTAGCCCTTTTGTACTACTTTTTATGTTCAATTGAGAACGTTGCTTTTAAAATCCAAACCTGTAAAATCTTAATATCTTACAGAGAGAACTAAATACATTCTGTCTATTTCTGATTTAAAAAAAAAAAAGCATAGAGTTCTCGCAGAACAGATAAGCTAAGCAGTGAATATAAGTAGACCTGTATGGATTGAAAGTTATTGCTGATGTGTATACACTCAGATATTTTTCTCATCTCTAACTTTTGAAGTAAAATTTAGGGATACTTGTGTACAGCTTCTTCATTTCTGTTTTAAATACTTGTCCTATCTCCACTGTGCCTGCTTAAATTTGTTCTCAACTAGCACTGCCTGTGCATGCAGAGAGATCCTGTGCATCCTCTTTTATTTTTTTAAATAACGTTAACACTTGTGAAAATTTTATGAAGATACTTTTGTATAAGCTGTGGCATCTTTTTTTCCTTTGTGAAGCATTGAATATCACACTTTTTGAACATGTTCAGGTTATGGGTACACAGTTTCTAGCTTCTAATACCCATGCACTGCTTCTTTCAGTGTCATTGCACAGTGCCGTTTTTCCCACTAAGAATTACTATCATGTGAATTCTCTTTTGTTTAAGTGTGTTCCTCAGTTTCAGAAAGTATAATTCCTTGAAGAAGAAAAACCCAACCCTACATTTTCTATTGATGAAGCAGTGTAAAGTAAATGCATTTTCAATACAGGTCCCAAAGACAATTCTTCAGATCATTTTTTTTTTTTTTAAAGTGACCAAGTCTTATTTTAAAGTGTCAAGCAAGACTAAAGTTGCAGTGTACCCTCAGTGCCATTTGTGTCATGAAGCCAAGTATGTAACAGCTTACAAATTTAACTTGTCTGTATCCTAAAAGGGAGAATTTATCATTTCCTTAAACTAATACAACTTGAATAATCAATGTTAAAAATAAATGCGATAGAGAGCTTGGTCTTAAACAGCTTTTGTTTCAGCTGCGGGCAGGGAAGCAAAAGGACACTGAGCATGAAGAGAAAACTTTCTAAATATTGTGAATTTTTATATATAAGAGAGTGGATTGGTAATAATGATTCAAAATTTTATTGAAAAGTAGTCAGCACACGTGTGCTCAAACCGTTCTGTTTTAAGCTGAAAGTAAATTTGCAAACAGTTCGGATATGTAAAATGTACATTTTAAAATTTCAATAGGAGAAACTTTGATCTTGAATCCTTGTCTGGGACCTGATCTCTTGGGGTTATTTTGTTTTGGTTTTAGTTGTGAAAACACCAAACATGTCCAGTTTATAATCAGTACATTGAAATGCTGGTAGTATTGCTGTAGTAGACTTAATGCGTAGTGTTATTTTTTTTCTGTTTGTTTTTTTGGGTTTTTTTGTAAAGTGTGAATAAAAGGTGTTTTACTCATGTTTCCTTAATGATGTCTTGGTAATGTACATCATGACAATTTCCAGTGATGATGAGCCAATTTAGCTTGTCAAACTGAGCAAACTATTTTTCTTTT